CAACTTCTTAACTTAAAACACCGACCAGGATCAACAGATATTCATTCATTCAGGTCATGGTTCCGAAGCATTAAAAATCAGCACTACGTTTAAACGTAGTTCGTTGATTAAAATTTCATCAAAATTTCAAGGAGAAAAACAAGACCGAAGGGAGAGAGAAAATCAGGCTATGCAAGCGATTTGATTACGACCATTTTACCAATCATGGGACTCACATAAGTTTTAGTAAGTAGACTAAGCACATCTGCTTGAAGATGTGATTTACCTTAGGAGCGGACGAATTACAAGTTAAATTATCACTAGCCATAGACAGGTGAGATAAATTACAGACACGACCCCAATAACCAGAGTAATATTGCACCAAACCTTAATTAGGAAGGTAGTACTCAAGAAAGGGAACTCGTGCGCACCTCAGTTAAACAATGTATTAATTGCATTCAGAACGAGCCGAATTAACAAGCCACCATTCACATTCACGAAAATAGAAACACTCAAAGCAGAAAATAGAACTACTCACGAAGACGTGATCACATAAGGTTAAAGGCTTGAATGTAGCTATGATCCCGGTATCATAACTAATAGAATTCTAAAATAGTCCTGTTGATATCCGAGAGTCACCCTTCCCACAGCTAATTCCATAAAGCCTTTGAACTTTGGGGTCTCTCCTTGCACCTGGCCGACTGGATAATATCGAACACAACAAGCCTCACGCGTGCTGACAAGCGCCAGAATTAATGTCAATAAATTCAAATGCACAAATCTTGAAACGGTATTGCCGCCTCCCCTCTCTCTCCGCTAGTCAAAAGTCTGTCCCATTATGCACACATCCTCCCTCTTCCCTCGTACCCCTTGACAAATAAAGACATGCCAGGAAGTCTTAAATTGAGCTAAACGGGAATTCAAGGCGGTAGGAGAACAACCTCTTAATGTCATTTAATTGTGTCCAATTCTTTATTAGAAAAAAGAAACCAGCAACTCTATATGTAAATAAAGAGCTGATAAGTAATAACTTAAATCAAAACAATCGTTCACCATGAACGGCTATAATCGGCATGAGAAATTGGAAACCAAATCCCCTTCGAAGCCTAAGATTGAAGAAAAGACTATTGGCAGTCACCTACAATTATGTAAGTAGCCCAAATTCAATAGGGGCATATCTTAAGATGACTTGAGCTTAAATGAACATAAGTGGCATTAGTAATCCGATATTCCTCAACATTGACAGAACTCTGACCAAAAAGAGACAAAACGACCAAAATTCCATTATTCTTGTAAATAATGATAGGCGTCTAGCCGGAAAATGGAATAGAATCAAGGGTCCGGACACGGGAAACAGCTATGTGGAAGAGCGATTGACCACCTGCCTCCAGGCGAGTATCGTGGTAGCCCAGTGGGCCAATTTCACAGTCTGCGCATATGAGGTACTTAATGCCCTCCACAGTGTTGCAAAATCCAACATTTTCGAAGTCTGTCATCCTTTCCACTGTCCAAAAACGAGACTCTGTCTTTCGAGGAAATGTATCACCATGTTGCTGAAGGTCCGACTTCTTGGCGATGATTGGAAGAGAAAACTAGAATGGAAATAAGAATCCCTTATGCCACTTGATCCTGATACTTCGAATTCGACTTAATGAAAACGAAGAAAAAAGTAAGTATCAGATGTCCTTGACACTTTTCCAATGAACCAATTCTCATCATTTAAGATAGAAAAGAGTGAACAATATTACTTCCGCAATTGAAATTGAACATTCGCCCCGGCCTCGTTTACCATTTTAGTCACCAGTTCTTTGGAGTGTATTTGTAACAAACTACACGTCGAAATTAAAATTTCTCATTAAGTCTTGGGAGAACTGAAGAACTAAAGGAGTGTCAATACAAATCCCCAAACACGATGATGCTAGCAGTCCCCGATAATACTAAATCTA